GGCCAGTGTCTCTAAGCCTAAGTGGCCATGTCCATTGTGGACTATTAACTTGAGGTGAGGCCTGCCCTTAAAGAAGCTTTCCTAGACCTTAAATAGAATGACAGCAAGAGACTTCAGAGTGATAGGGAATTGGAATGCAGCCAAAGTCGATAATTAAACTAGATCTGCGTTTTGATTCTAGTTTATTTTACATATAGGTCTCCCCTGAGATGCCTTTTATTGTTCCTGTCTGTTATTAGTGGGCCTTTTATTTAAAAGGGGGAAAAAAACATAATAATTTCCCCTCTTTAGAGAGAGTGCTTTAATGAATAGTAAGAGATCAGATGATTGCATTTTGCATTGATTAATTTTCCCCCAAGTGATTTTACTGTGTACAAAGGAAATTCAGGGCTAAGCAGAGAATGTCTGAGGCTGGGCTGCCAGTGAGAAAGACTTAAGGCAGGAAAATGTGGGGATTTTCTTACGGGGCAAGAACATTCCAAGATTTATTTTAGGTGGCACACACTTTGTAACTTATTAATTTTTTAATGGCCAAGGTAATTATTTTTGTGTTGCTGACGCAAGTTCTTGGGCAGCATGGAATGTTTCCCTTTATTATAAAATTGCCTGATCAGAGTGCCTGGTCACCTGGTAAAAATCCTTCGGGGGTTGGGGGGGAGTAGAAATCAAGTCAAACAGGTTTATGTTTTGATGTAGGACTGGAGAATGGGTGTTCACCACAAAGTGAAGGGTTTATCAAGGAATCTGGGAGAGAGACATTCTCACTGTTGGAACTTTAAAAGCCCTTTTCACATCCTGCTTCCCTTTTCATTGTGCGGAGCAACAGGTCAGGTATAGCCTGGGGCAGCCTTACAAATTGGCACCTGCCTTTGTGCCTTAGACCTGAAGGAAGTGGTGAGGAAAGGAGGCCAGGGAAATTTAATAAGCCTGTGCCTTTTCCTCCAACCTTCTGCAAAGCTGGCTTTCCTCGGGAATTGAGCTTTGATACCTGTGGTGTAGGAGAGGCTTGGGGCACCTCCCGACTCAGGACAGGGCTTTGCCGCCGGGAGGCGTGAGCAGGTGCTGGGCTGCGCAAGGATGCAGGCACCAGGAGAGGCCGGGAGCAGGACCCCTCATCCCCACCGTCCCTGAACCTCTATACTGCAGTTGGCACTTTACACTGGACTTTCACAATTATCACCTCATTTATTCCTAAATCCCTGTTTCCTCCTCCCCCCACACCCTCAAAGAAGGCAGCCTGTAGGATTTTTGACAAGTGAGGAGGTTCAAAACTGGATTTCTCCCAATGCTCATCCCTGGATATGCATTGATAGAAAGGGTTTTGTACCAGGTGTCCTCCGTACCTTGATCAGTGGAAATTTAAATGCTTGAACTTGCCGGCAAGGCAGTCCTACCTCTGTAGAGCAGACGTGGCGGCTGTTCTACATGTTATCTTTCCTCTTCGACTTTTCCTTTTCTTCCTTTTTCTCAGAAAATCAGAAACCTGAGACCTCTTACATAGTCTAACATTCACTCCAGTGTGCGAAAGTTACTTGATTTTTACTGTGCGTTGTCTGATTCCCAGTAGGAAAAATACAACATGTTCCTATCCATTTTTCCTCTAGTGTTTCACAGTGCAGCTCCACCTTTTCCTCAGATTTGTTCTTTTTCTATTTGTTCTTTTTTTTTTTAAAGATTTTGTTTATTTAGAGAGGGGAAGGGAGGGAGAAAGAGAGGGAGAGAAACATCAATTTGTGGTTTCCTCTCACACAGCCCCCACTGGGGACCTGGCCTACAGCACAGGCACATGCCCTGGACTGGAAATCAAACTGGCGACCCCCTGATTTGCGGGCCGGCACTCAGTCCACTGAGCCACACCAGCCAGGGCTGTCCCTTTGTTTTTTGACTAAGCCATTCTTCTTCTTAGTCATCTGGGGCTGTTTTCAAACATCTCCTAAAACCTATCACACCCATTGCTAGACGCTTGTTTTCACACTGGCACATGATTGATTATCCCGATTGCGGGAGAGAGTGTTTCTTCTCGGGAAAGCCCAACTGCTTCTTGATGAGGCCCTGCCCTTCCTGTGTCGCAGGGATGTCTCTATTTTCAGATCACAGCTTCCCAGGCCTTCTGATCGTAGTGAAGCCACATAGCATAACAGGGGCTAACGCTGTCTTTCTCTCCTTCTTTTTAAATGTTGACATTCCAGTACAAAATTATCCACTACTTCCTCCTAAGCTCTGTTGTATCCTCAGCAAATTATATATCTTTGTTTGAAAAACAAAAGGCCTGGTTTTGGTTTCTAGTATAGTTTTCCAAGAAATGAGTTAGTTTTTCTTGCAGAAACCTGACAATGCAGCCCAAAGCCTCTCATTTCTCTTTTTAGTTGTGGGGGTTTTTGGGGTTTTTTTTTTTTTCTGTGTGAATTGACAAAGCTAAATCGGTGTCGCCAGGAACGTGTCCTAGGCCCCAAATGACAGCAGTTTCAATTTTCAATACTTTCCTGTATTGTCTATGATAAACACTTAATATTTCGTGGTCAGGGGGAAAAATTTAAAGGGGAAAGTATTACCAGCAGAACAATGAACAGAGCATATAGACTGAAGTGTGGCTCTAAAATGCTAAGACCTAGGAGGTGAGATTAAAAGTAAAAACTAAAGGATTTAGTAAAAAGCAGGGTTTGTGGGAGAAGGAATCATCAGCCCAAAAAATTACTCCAAAGTGATTTGTTTAGAAAGTCAGTAGCATGGCAGTGTTTTTTACTATATTGAGGGAGCCAGGCTTGAAGATTTAATCTTCACTTGAGTTGGTTACTTGGTGTCTAATTTGAATATCTCCTGACAGAGTCTGCATATGGGCAAATAGCTAGCAGAACTTACAGAAAGGTTTGGAAGCAAAATAAGGAAAAGAATGTGAAAGTAGAGGGAAAAAATGGGTGATAGAATTACCCTTACAATGTAACTACCTGCATTATAACTTTTTTTAAAAAACTCATCATGGAGAAAAGACTGGATGCTCTCCATGGACATTGTTGATGTCCTGTACTTTCCCCTTGAAACTGGGGGGCAGGGAAAGCCGTCAGGATGCCTATGTTGTGGACCTGTCTCTGGCACTGTCTCCAAGGATGTCCTCTGAGCAAGCCAACACCATAGCCCTTAAGAGACATGCAACTGCTAGATTAACTGTCCTGGGCATCAGCTTGCGCGCATATACAATGAGAAATTTGGTGGTGGGTTTTGTGATTCCTTTTCTCAATTAGGCGTTTTAACAGTTTGGGGATAGACAAGATAGAAAAGCATGGACTGATGGGCAGTACCTGATGTGGAGTCTCCTTTTCTTGAAATATCTGTACTCAAAGTGGACAGAGACATCTGAACACATCCATGGTTGAGTTGACCGAGGAATGGGCAACACGACAGGGCCTAGATTCCGAGCATTCGTTCTGGTTGGAAGGATGGGCCAAACTAGGATGAAGTTTAATAGGATTAAACACCAAGTCTTACTTATGTTACTTGTTTAAGGCAGTGAGTTAAGTTACAGGAGACCTGGGTTAACAGCAGTTCCTACAAAAAAGACTAAGGGTTTTGTTACCCACAAGCTCAGTTGGAGTGAGGAGTGTAATGCGGGTGTCAGAAAAGCAAAGGCTACAGTAATGAATGTGTAGCATTAAGGAAGTTTGACAGATTGGAGCCCAGCATCAGCCAAGAATACCCAAGATCCGACATCACTGGACTTCAATAAATGTCACTGCGCTTGACTACATCTGTTGAATCTGGATGGAGTCATTATTTTCTTTGAAGAACCTCTAAATTTGGTGGAAAGTTCTAGGTATTAGACATCTGTAAAAGAAATGATAGTAAATCGTTAAGTGTTGAAAAAGGGTGACTTCCTTTCCAATTAGTCTACATAAAACCCAATATACATCTTGTGCCTTTCATTAGATGGTTAACTGTTTCATCATATTTCTGGGCACACATCGATTCTCAAGGCCTCCTGATGCCATCATTTTGGCACCAATAATTCCTTGATGAGGACTTTGCTCTAGTTTTTAGTTGTTCTGCACACGGCTCTTAAATGTGTAAGAATTATTGTAACTATTTAAGGTTTTAGAACAGGCATTTATCAATGTTTCATATATACTGGGAGGTAGAGGTAAGTACCTGAATAAATTAGAAGATCCATGACCCCCTTTAAAAGGTATGTAATTTTTTACATACGTGTGTTTTTTTCTGTGATAGTCCCAACACTTTTATCAGAGTCTCAAACGCTACAAAAAAAAAAAAAATCCTCCCCCTGCCACCTATATAATGTTTCTATTTCCTACTGTATAAACAAAGTTGCATCTTGGTTGTTGCTGCCCATCTTCTGAGAACAAGTCCTCCTTAAAATGCCAGTGACCTGTGATCACTGATTTAAAAGGATGTCAAGATGGAATTCCAAAAACATTTTAATAGAAATCTTACTATTAGAGTAAATGGGTGGGATGAGCAGAGGAGGGTGCAGGGGGGAAAACTGGGACAACTGTGGTAGAATAAATAAAAAAATCTTTTAAAAAGATGCATTAAAAAATTAAAATAATAAAAAATGTAATAAGAACTATCCCTTCCGCATGGCACACAATAAAAAGATTTTTTTAAGGATTTTATTTATTTATTTTTAGAGGGGAAGGGAGGGAGAAAGAGGGAGAGAAATGTCAGTGTGCAGTTGCACACCCCTTACTGGGGACCTGGCCCGCAACCCAGGCATGTGCCCTGACTGGGAATTGAACTGGCGACCCTTTGGTTTGCATGCTGGCACTCAATCCAGCCAGGGCTAAAATGATTTTTATTTAAAAAAGGAAAATTTAGATTTATTACTTGCAGAAGTTGGGTGATATTTTTTTTTCTGTTTCCCTTTTAACTTGTGAGTACAATTCAGTCTTCTCCAGGAATATTTTGTTCTGAGGTAGGTTCCAAAGAAGCTTGATCTTCTCAATGGGATATGTGTTTCATGTGGTTTTTCTTCCTTTTCAAATGGACAGGGTGCCAAAGCATGCTTTCTGCGGGACATTCCTTTCTCGGCCATCTACTTCCCGTGCTATGCTCATGTGAAGGCTTCCTTTGCGAGTGAAGATGGCCAGATTAGCCCAGGAAGCCTGCTCTTAGCGGGCGCCATAGCTGGTGAGTGTCCCTCACAGACTCCTTCCCCACCCCCACCCCATGCCACTGCTCTGGAACTTTGCTTCTGGTTCTTGACATTGTACACAGAAGAGGGCTATATATTGCTTTGAATAGCTACTGAAAAGAAAGTTGGGGGAATTAACCTTACTTCTGGCAGAGTAGATTATTAGACAAGCTTAATTTCTTAACTCCAGAAAAGACTCATTAAAAATGCTACATTTGGTGGTATTCCTGGATTCCAGTTCAAGTTCCATTTGAATTTGTAGTTTCACTTCATAGCATAAGAATGATAACTAAATTAGGAGTTTTAGTTTGATTTTCTTATAATTGTTTAAATTTTTATTTATTGATTGTTTTTAGAGAGAGAGGAAGGGAGAAGAGAGAGAAACATCTATTTGTTGTTCCACCTATTTATTCATTCACTGGTTGCTTTTTGGATGTGCCCTGACGGGGGATCGAACCCACAACCTTGGCGTATCAGGACAACACTGACCAACTGAGCTACCCAACCAGAGCTTAAGTCAGAACTTTAAAAAAATTTTTTAATAATTGTTCTTTAGTGGTACCTAAGCAAAATAGTGTATAATAGCTTACCCAGAATTGAAGCAATAGTATGATAAAGAAATGTAGTAAAAGCCTAAACAACAAACAACTTGGTCCTATTAGATACCTGATTCCTCCTAGCTGTTGTGTAAGGTTATAGGAACTGGATGTATATATAAATTGAATCCCAGAGAGAAATGACTATTGTCTTTTTTACCAGCTCTACAGTGAAAATATCAATAGAAAAAAATAGATATGGAAGTTGGTTTCTACATCCCAATGTAAATCCCTAGAGGAAATTTGATTATAACCACAGCAGGAATCAGTTTGTTCTTTGATGCTACTCCTCATCCAGATACCCTAAAGGCCGGAACAATCTGGATTAGCTCTCCAGGTGGTGACAAACATTTAATGAGTTAATGAACCCTAAGGCAGTCATGAGATGACTGGGTCCAAAGAGTTTTGATACAGATACTGTTCTCGTCAGATGCATGGCTTAAGTCTCCTGAGAACAACCCCTGGCTTTGAGAAGTTTGTTTGCTGTTTTGTGGACCCGTGTCTTTCCTGTAGCCTGGGGAGCCCCTGGGGGAAGGAACCCAGATAGCTCCTCTTGAATTCTTAATTAATTCTTTTTCTTCAAAGGCAGGATTGACCCTTCCTGGCTGCTCGGAAACCCTAGTTGCATGAGTAGCAATGAGATCACTCTACCTGCATCAGGAAATGATGATTTCAAGATGAGAATATAAAATTCTCAGTTTTAATCCCATCTTGCCATTGACTCACTGCATCCTTTACCTGTCATTACATCTATATAAATTATAAAAACAAAGGAACATAGTTACAAAGAATAAAATGATAATAAATATGTACCTATCAATAATCACTTTAAATGTAAATGGCTTAAATGCTCCTATCAAAAGACCTAGTGTAGCTGAATGCATAGGAAAACCCATATATATATTGTCTGCAAGAGTCACACCTCAGAATGAAAGATAACATATCGACTCAAAGTAAAGGTATAGAAAATGACATTTTGTGCAAATGGAAATTTTAAAAAAGCTTGGTTTAGCAATACCTACATCTGACAAAATAGACTTTAAAACAAAAGCAGTAGTAAAAGACAGAAAAGGATTCAGCCTAATGACAAAGGGAGCAATCCAACAAAAGGATATAAATCGTATAAACATTTACACACCCAACATAGGAACAACGAGACATGTAAAGCAAATCTTGATGGATATAAAGGTAGAGATCAACAGTCATAGTAGCGGATTTTGACACCCTGATTGACATCGTTGGATAGATGTTCCAGGCAGAAAATCAACAAGGAAATGGTGGCCTTAAATGACACTAGATCAGATGGATTTAATTGATATCTTCAGAGCATTTCACCCAAAGTGGAAGAGTATACATTCTTTTCAAGTGCACATGGAACATTTTCTAGGATAGACCACATGTTAGGCCAAAAAACAAACTTAAGCAGATTGAAATCATGTCAAGCATTTTTTCTGACCACAGTGGTATGAAACTACAAATCAGTCACATGAAAACACTGAAAAACACACACAAGACATGGAAGCTAAATAACATGTTTATAATTACATTTAAAAAAAAAAAAAACCCTAGGAATAAATTTAACCAAGGATTTAAAAGACCTCTACTCAGAAAATTATAAGACATTGAAGAAGATGCAAGTAAGTGGAAGTACCTACCATGTTCATGGATAGGAACAATTAACGTCATTAAAATATCCATACTAATCAAAGCGATCTATAGAGTCAGTGCAATTCCTATCAAGATACCAATGGTGTATTTCACAGAACTAGAACAAATATTCCAAAAATTTACATTGAACCACAAAAGACCCTGAATAGCCACTGCAATCTTGAGAAAGAATAGTTAGAAGGATCACACTACCTAATACCAAACTATGCTACAAGGCTACAGTAATCAAAACAGCATGGTATTGGCATAAAAAGAGACATATAGATCATAGAACTAAGTACAGAGCCCAGAAATAGACCCACGCCTTTATCGTCAATTAATATTTGGCAGAGGAGGAAAAAACATACAATGAGGTTAAGATAGTCTATTCAATAAATAGTGTTGGGAAATCTGGACATATACATGCAGAAAAATAAAACTAGACCACCTTCTGACACCTTACACAAGAATAAATTTAAAATGAAGTAAAGACTTATATATTAGACTTGAAAACCCTAGAAGAAAACATAGGCAGTAAAATCTCGGACATTTCTCATATTTTCTCAATATTTTTTCTGATATATCACCTGAGGCAAGGGAAACAAAGAAATAGGATCATATCAAACTAAAAAGTTTTGCACAGCAAAGGAAGCCATCAACAAAATGAAAAGACAGCCCACTGAATCGGAGACCATATTTGTCGATGATAATCTGATATAGTTAATATCCAAAATTTATAAAGAACCTAATAAACCTCAATACCAAAAAAAAAAATCCAATTCAAAAATGGACAAAGGACCTGTACAGACGCTTTTCCAAAGAGGACATACAGATGACCAATAGACATATGCAAAGATGCTCAATGTCATTAATTATGAAAGAAATGAAAATTAAAACCACAATGAGATACCACCTCACACCTGTCAGAATGGCTGTCATTAATAAATCAACAAACAAGCGCTGGCGAAGATGTGGAGAAAAGGGAACCCTAGTGCACTGTTGGTGGGAATGCAGACTGGTGCAGCCACTGTGGAAAGCAGTGTGGAGTTACCTCAAAAAATTAAAAGTGGAATTGCCTTATGACCCAGTGATTCCACTGCTGGGAATATATCCAAAGAAACCTGAAATACTAATTTGAAAGAATGTATGCATCCCAATGCTCATTGCAGCATTATTTACAATAGCCAAGATTTGGAAGCAGCCCAAGTGCCCATCAGGAGATAAGTAGAGAAAAAAGCTGTGGTTCATTTACACAATAGAATTCTAGTCAGCCATAAAAAAGAGTAAAATCTTACCTTTTGCGACAGCATGGATGGACCTGGAGAGTATTATGCTAAGTAAAATAAACCAGTCAGAGAAAGACAAATAGCATATGGTTTCACTTATATGTGAAGTCTATTGAACAAAATAAACTAAAAAACAAAATGGAAACAGACTCATAGATGGAGAACAGATTGATAGCTGGCAGAGGGGAGGGGGCTTGGGAGCTTTGATAAAAATGGTAACAGGATTAAGCAAACAAAAAAAAAACAAAAAAAAACCCTTGTAGACACTGACAACAGTACGTTGATTACCACAGGGAAAGGGGGCGGTAGGAGGTAGAGGGTGAAGCAGGGATGAATGATGGGTGATGGAAGGAGACTTGAGGTGGTGAACGTACAATGTAGTATACAGGTGATGTATTACAGAATTGTACACCTGAAACCTATGTAAGTTTATTAACCAGTGTCCCAATAAATTCAATAAAGAGGTAAACAATAATAATTTAAAAGCAGTTCTTAGGGCCTTTAAAAAAAATGTAATGGAGAGGTTAAGTCAAGGTAATAGACTGCGCATATTCACCTCATCTCTTCCCAAATATCTTAAAATGTCAGAAAATACATTTTTTTAAAACTCCTTATTGACACTAGGAAATGTTAGCGCCAGCCCTCAGGAAGCAGGAAACAGAACCATATTTACCCTGAAACTAGACTGAAGTATGCCACAGCATAAAACACTGGCAGGAAAAACGATTTTTGTTCATGTAAGAGCAGAAGCAGAGAGTTTTGACCTCTCGGGGAATAATAGAAGGCCTGGAGTCTGGAGCTGGAGATTTCAGGGTGAATCATGGGCAAGAGTTTAAGAACTGCATTCACTGCCTAAAGGTCAGGCTTGGTCCTCTCTTGTCTTCTCCGCTTTATTTGGAGCTTCAGGCAACACTCGAACCCAGGCTCAAAGCCTGGGCTGTTTTCTCAAGAAAGGGATCACTTGCTAGGAGGGGGCAATTGTAAGGGGCTGAAAGAAAGCAGGGCCAGCAAGGCTAAGGGATCATTCCAGACCTTTACCACACATGCAGAAGTTAAATTAAAAAAAAAAAAAACAACAACAACCCTCATGGCCACTCTTCCCAAGAGGGGTATAAATTAATTCCTCTGCTTCCAAAGCAAAGCTCTCTGTTCAAAGGACAGGCTGATTTGGAGGCTCCCCACTCCACCAGCTAACTTAGCCGCCTGCACCCAGTGAACAGGCCTCACCCATGTCACAAAGTCCGTAGGGGAGCCTCCCATTCAGGAGAAAGGCCTGTGGGTGACAGTGGCCTAGAGTAGGATAGAAGCCATCCACAGCACTAATCAGCCTGTCCTTTGAACTTGAGTATCAATAGACAGACAGAGGTTCTCAGACAAGACTGAGCAGTAAGGCAGGTAAACAGAATTACAGAGAACACAGGCAATTCAGGGAATAGAGGAGGACTTTTAACAACTATAATTAAGATCCTCAGAGAGATTTTAAAGGAACGATCAGTAAAGAAGCTTTCTTGAAAACTAATAATAGGATTGCCAAAATTAAAAATCTGTAGATGGTCTGAATGATAGAATGGATATGATCAAAGGCCAAATTAGGCATCTGGAAAATAAACTCATGGGGGGGGGGGGGAAGAAACACTCTAAAATATGGAGCAAAAAATACAGAGATTAAAAATATGAGAAAGTTTAAGAGACATATAGGAATAATCCAGGAGGTCTAACATTCACTTCATAGAACTTTCCCTAGGGAGAAGTAATAAGGGAGGGAAGACAGCAAGGAATCAGTAGTAGACGCCTGACTTTCAATACCAGGCACCTTCAAAGTGCCAGGGGAGGATGGCTGGAACCTGAGTTACATTCCCAGCACACTAGCATTCAGGAGGGAAGGCCACACTCAAGTTAGTTTCTCCATGCCAGGACTCAAAGGTTACCCCTCACAGACCTCTTCAAGTCAAAATGAAAAGCGACTTTAAGAATGAAGAAAATGTGGGATATATGACACAGAGCAAATGAAGTTAAACTGAGAATCGTTCTAAATAACTGCTAACTCTGGCACATACATGTTTACACCAGAAGGGTCTTTGGGAGGCAGATGAAGGAACGACAAATGTGGAAGTGTGCTGCGTTCCCACCTTTCTGGTGAAGGATGTAAGTGCTAATTAATTGTAAACATTATAAGTAGTACACCTGTGTAATAAATGCGTATAATATCTGGAATACATTCATCAGGAAAGGATGGAGATCAAAAGGGGAACAAAAGCAGAGAAAATAAAAACCATAATACAGGACGGCAGAAATCAGCCTGTTAACCACAGTAACAGCCACAGTTGTGTGGAGCCAATGCCCATAGTGAAAAGATACTTTCTCATAAGTCATGAAAGGGAATCTAGTCACCTGCAGTTTGAGAAAACAATGACATAGAAAAATCGAAAGAAAATGACTGAAAACTATATACTGGGCACATACCAACAATAAGCAAGTTTAGCAATTTCAGTGTCAGAATAAATGGAAATGAGGGTTTAAAAATAGCATTCAAGAGTACAGAGGCATATCTTACACTTACAAAAGATAAAATTCCCTGACATCAACCTCTATGTGCTATCAACAGTGTCTTATAAAAGTTCAATGTAAAAGTATGGCAAGGACATATTTTCTCATTCCAAATGAGAATCTTTATACTTCTCTTAGAAGCTGATACAAGTAGATAATTTAGATAAGGATATAAAGGGAGTTTTTAAACCTCTTAACCTTGATCCAAAATAAATAGATACTAACTCTCTATGCCATAAACAGAGAAGTATGTCCTTAATATATACTAATGGGATACTTAGTATATGTAAAAATTAAGAATGTTAGTATATGTATATGAAAATTAAGGATGACTTGCCCCAAAGTTGTCTTTTTCTGGTCCTGCTTCATTTTGGTTGCAAAAGAACTTTTTCTCTATAGTTGCTGGGCCTCTTTAAAGAATTAGAATTTTTATTGACTAGAGAGCACCCCAAATTGTTCCTGTCACCCGGGGAATGGGCAGTCCCACACACTCACCATTTGCCTATCACTTAAAGCATCAGGTAGGCTGCCGGGCCCCTCCCTGGTGAGGAACCTAGAAGCAGCCTCTGGTTCCTAGCCTCCTCTTGTCCACCCCATCTTTGGGAATAGAGAAAACGTAACCTCTCGATCAGTGTCATTAGCCTTTTAGAAGCCAGGACAGACCAGGCAAATTCATTCCGAGCCTTTCCCGGCCTTGCTTGGAGCAGCCTTGTGCTATTCTCCAGGCTCCCAGAAGTCCCCTGTCCACAGAGATCCCCGTTCCTCTGAGGCCCTCGCAGCTGTCTACCGGGTCTGAGACGTGGGAGCTGGGGATGGAGAGGGTGAGGTTGTGTGCGGGCTCCCTATTCTCAGCATCCCCGCCCCCAACTCTCTCTCTCTCTCTCACACACACACACACACACACACACACACACCCCACACCCGCCCCCCCCATCAGCTTTGTCAGGCAGTTTATGAAACATCTTACGTTTCTTTTGGCAGTTTTATTCCACTAATCAATATCTTTCCTCTGCTCCCCCCATACGTACCTTTCTTTTTTCCATAACAGGGAACTATTTGTGAAGACTACCCACTTTATTGCTTGTGTGTGTTTCACAGTCACCTCACAGGCCTGCCCACCGTTGTCAGGAGGGTTTCATTGGATGTCTAAAGCAGACAGCCTTGCTGTAACCTCTTTCTAAACCCGGAAGTAAAGCAAAATCAGTGGTGTGAACACTGGGTTTCTAAGCATTTTTCATGTTTCCTTCCATTATGTTGGAGGATAAATTTCTGGCTCAAAGTTAAAATAATTCCTCCAAGCTAATAGGAAATTTAGGATGACTTATCCAGTGAAGCATTGGTTAGCAAAAAATGTAGTGCATTCTATAAAAACAGTTACTTAAGATGAATGTTTGAGGAGCTCAGTCAAGATGGAAGAGGAAGAGATTGAGCTTAGTAATAAAAATGCAAACGTGTGCTCTGCACTTTTCCCCAGACACACATGCACACACTGGAACTTTAAAGCTGTCTGTTAGAAGGATGAGATGTTGCTGTGAGCCAGACCACGTTGGTTTGGACAGAAATTCTTACAGAATTATTAAGCCTTAAAAAAAGCAAAGGAGATTTATGCATCTGCATTTGACCAATTTGGTTTGGAATGGGTTCATAATGGAAAAGTAATAAAACCAGAAGAGACAGTGTCTTCTGAGTACAGTCTCGCTTTTAAAAAATCTAAACATGGGCTGTCCCATTTTGGATAAAATGACTGTAGAAAAATTTCCCATTGGTAATTTTGGGAAGGTTTTGTTGTTGTTGTTGTTCCTTTTTCATTGATGACCAGCCAATATAAATTTTAAGCTTTCTGTCAAATATTTTTTCTGGAGATGACAGCGTATGAAAAAGGAACCCTAAAGTGTTATCTGTGTAAGTCTCCTCTTCTAATGACCCCCCCGCACCCCCCCAACACACACACAGATGCGTGCACACACGGTGTTTGCTTAGCTATCAGTAAAGTCTTTTTCTGGTGTAACTGGAGAGGTTAGGGTCTGGAGGGTTGGGGTGGTTGAACGTGTGCAAGAAGGCACCTCCTGTGACTGCCAACAGCCGCAGAAAAGCATGAAGAGGAAACGCGTAACAAGCTTCACCTCTGAAAAATCGGACCTAATAACTTGGCGAGTTTCTGATTTCAAAAGGAAAGCAGAAAAAATTTAAAAAGCACCAAAGACTTTCTCTGTTTGTTCTCAACTCCTTGAAGTGGTATTATTGATAAATAATTCCTTACAGCTATTTAAGATTAGAAATTAGAACCCTAACAAGGGAGTGTGACTTGCGGGAGGGGAGAGGGGAGGAGTGTCGGGAGGTGGGTGGGAGCCTGCGTCGCTGCTGCAGATGAGATCCTCAGGGCTGCACTTCCCAGAGGGGACAGTGGAATAAGCATTTGATTTCCTAGGACGCTTAACTTTCTTTCCACGGGCCAGCAGTTCAAAGCACAGTTATTTTTATATAGTGAGGATGCGAGCAGACTGATGGTGTTGTCTTTCCCGCAGGTATGCCGGCAGCATCGTTAGTGACCCCTGCTGATGTTATCAAGACTCGATTACAGGTGGCCGCCAGGGCCGGCCAAACCACTTACAGCGGCGTGATGGACTGCTTCAGGAAGATACTGCGGGAGGAGGGCCCGAAAGCTCTGTGGAAGGGAGCTGGTGGTACGGAAGTAATTTGTCCTTAACTAAACCTTTGGGTATTGGGTAAAGTTTTTAAAATCTAATTATATCCAATATTTTCCCACTTTGTCTTAAAGCTCGTGTGTTTCGGTCCTCACCCCAGTTTGGTGTAACTCTGCTGACCTATGAATTGCTGCAACGGTGGTTCTACGTTGATTTTGGAGGAACGTAAGTATCATCGTGCTAGATGTACAGCTAAATTTCAGCCGCTTCTAAGACTCGGCCCTTGTGGAGGAAGGTCCACCAGCCTGTGCTCTGTGAGGAAATGGAGAGGGGGTAGGGAAATAGGGAAATCACGTCTTCAGACTCATTTCCAGCGGGAACATACAACTGACTAGAAATTCCATAACTGCTTTATGGTGCAGACTTTTGGTTTTTGAAAGTTGTTTTTTCCAGGTTAAAAAATAATAATAATACAACCAAACTCAGATCCCCTCTCTGTCTTCTCTTTTAGGAAACCCGTGGGATCAGAGCCAGTTCCTAAGTCCCGGATCACACTGCCTGCCCCGAATCCTGATCACGTTGGGGGCTACAAACTGGCAGTTGCAACGTTCGCAGGGATTGAAAACAAATTTGGACTCTACTTACCTCTCTTCAAGCCATCAGTATCTACCTCGAAAGTTACCAGTGTTGGCTCCTAGAAGGACTGGCTGTGGGATGTTGCCATGGCTTTGTTACATGGGTAAAGGTTACCCCATCTCGGACTGAAGCAATATTTCATTCCTTTCAGGTCCATCTTTTGTTCAAATTCAAGTCTAGGCTTTTTTATGAGGGGAAATCATTCATTTGCTTTATGTTTTTTTCACCAGATCATTGTAAAATTATTCATAATTGCTCTTTGGGCATCTGCTCACAAACCTTCGTTTGCACCTGACATTTCCTGGGATTTGGTCAACACCCATGATTTGGGAGAAAGAGCAAAGCTGAATAGAAATTAGAGCTATTGTCCTTAGATTAGGATTATAATCCCAGAGGGGCTACTGAAAGGCAGTCAGGGTGCTCAGAGCAAAGTCTTTCATGTGCATTTAAACTGGTAAGAAACTGGGTGCGTGTTTAGAAAAAGTAAAAGGCACTGGAAGCAATGAAAAGGGTCAGAATTAGCCATCTTAGCCTGGCTTCAGATTTTAAATGTGCACTAATTGTGCCTCTGGATTATATTATGAAGCTTTTATAGGAAACACAGTTGTTTTGTTTTTTGTCTTGTTTTTTTGGTAATGAAAACCACGGTGAGGATATTTAATAATCTTATTCTGTTACTGATACCAAAATGAGTAGTATGAAGGTTTGTCCTTTGGGGAAGTCCTCTTGGCATTTTATTACAGAGAGAAGCCATGAGATGCAGCCCAGCTTCTGGATGTGCTAACTTTGGATAACCTCTCGTAGGCTGCGCATGCGCTGCTTACTGCCTATGGCGATGAACACTAGAAAAATGCACGCCCCCCCCCCTTTTACCTGGCCTAATTCCCTCTGGACTCCCCACAATCGATTTAAAGTCCACTTTATCTTGAATCATGTAAGACAAATGTACTCTACTGTAAGTTTTTATTTAATTTGTGGAGCCTCGCATAATTGTCAGAAGGCTTGTGTGCTTGTGAAGGAGGGAAATAAACTATTTTTAAAGTTACTGAATTCTTTTTCTTTGTGTCACATGGTAAATAATGACCATTATTGGACTCTCTGTTTCATTTTGAGGAGGATTTTATTCATACTGGCATGGATATATCCTCCGGGTTTTCAGTTAATGCGCACCCTCGTTTTACTATGCCAGTATGCCATTTTCACAGTAAGACAAACATTTCACCATCGATAAGCAAGGAGCCTAGCAAACAGACACTTTTAGTCACCTCACACTTTATTATCCTGAGAATTAGAGTAATATAAAGTTTCACTGAAAACTGGACATGAAAATTGGTATGAAATGATGGCAATTGTATTTTCTCTGACTTTTCCTCATACCAAAACTTTATACCACTGTATGTGACATTTGGTCATTTTTGGCCAACACTTTAATGATTTGGGGAAAGAAGCCTGAACAGAATTTAGGGCTCTTCTTATACTACAGTCATGCTCTCGAAGAGGCTCTGATTAATCTATTGGTAGTCAGTTTGAACATTCTCCTCCATGAAAGACAGGCATTTTTCATTCTCTGACTTGCTGTAGGTCAGTAGGTTGACATTGTTACAGTTAAAAATTGGAAAGAGTCGGAGCTATCCACAAGTCCGATTTTTTTTTTTTAAGTGAACACAAGCTATGCTCTCCTCCCCAGAAATAGCGCACGTACATACGTGGCTCCCTCCATGGTTTTGGTCTGGCAAAACCCAAAAGAAAACCCTTCTTTCTGCCCTTCCCCCTATTCCCCACTAAATGTGATAAGTGATAAATGTTTCTATTTTAATGTCAGAGACAAGTCACAAAACTCCAAATAGGTCTTGAAAATGTGGGTGGTGTGGCAATAACAAAGCACTCAAGCTTTGGTGTTCTGAATTTGGAGAAAAGTCCCTGAATGTAAATCTCTGCAATCCTTTTCTTCACTTGCCTGAAATTTTATAGAAGATCAGTTATTCATGATATAAACACTGACCCAAATCTCAGAAACGGTGGACTGCTCTTCTGTAAGAGCTGTTGCGTTGGGTGGGGGAGGGTCTCGACCTCAGGGAGATGTACCTGTAGCTGAGGGCTGTTCTCTTCAGTAAATGAGAAACCTGAGATATGAGGAAGCCAAAGGAGAGAGGGCCACAGGGCTGCGTTTCTTTAAAATCCTTGGCTTATTCTATTGAGAGATAGGCAACGGCTTGAGACACTTTGAAGGAGGCCTGATTTCCATCTGAGCTCTGCTCTGTGGGTGGCGTGACTGTGACACCCTTGAATGGGACTGCAATCGCCCTGCGGTGAAAACCACGTCAAATTTGTTCTGGGTTTTCCTTCTTCCTGAAGTGACAGCACAATACGTCGCCAGTGCTGTGGCTGCTGGTCGCTTCCCTCCTCCATGCTGAAGGCACTAAAAGATGTGTAACTCCAACAGGCTGGCCTGCCCACCGGGGGGCCAGCCTCCCCGGAGCTCTGCCAGCCGCACCGCGAGTCTTTCAGCTCTGCCTTTCATCTACCTCGTGATTGCATAGGGGGTGGGGGAGAGGCCTGACTTGTAGCAGCTTTTTTTTTTTTTTTTTTTTTTTTTTTGCAAGGAGGGGAAAAAATGTGAAGCCGGCCACAAAGTGAACACACTGATTCTTGGGTTCCAGTCGCGGCTGGGTTTCTTGAGGCTGGGTGGCACGCTGTCGCCAAGCTCATGCTACACCTCATAACCCACAACCATTTGCTGAGCTCCCTAGAGTCGCCTTAATCCCAGCAGCCCAGGGTTGCACAGGGGAAAATAAGAATTCTGGCACAGAAAGGAGTCATTTAAATGCTTATTGCATTTCAAGCTTCAGTTTTTACTTAGCTAAAATATTTACCATTGCTGGAAAACAATGTTTAAAATTTTGTGCTTATATGTTATTTAATGGTGTGGCCTCTGTAAACCTCAGGATGCTTACATTTTGACAGTCTTCTGGAAATGTTTAACAGCACATAACTCAGCAAGCAGGGAATAAAAACGAGAACAAATTGTGCTTGAAACTGTTTGTAACCTCCTCCAGCGAGGTAGTCAGCAAAGCACGCTGGAATTCTTCAGGTGGAGGGAAGGAAACCTCCAATAATGGAATTTGATGAATCCTGTCCTGTGGCTCCATTATCAACCTTCTTGATAAATCCTCTCTAAAAGTCACATGTCTTTTACCACAGATGCCATACTTGTGGGGATGAATTTGTATCTTTGCCACTGAGCAAAATCTCATTTCAAATTCAGGGTAATCAAATGCTTTCAGGGTGTGGATTTTTCCAAAGATTTTTGAAAGGCACGTTCCCTGGTAAGAACAGCGGAATGTTCCTTCCACAAACGGTGCCGCCCACAGAGGCGTGTGCCTTTTGTTTTACCTTTTGGGAATAGCCCAACCCTCACCAAAGAGGTCTCTCTACTTTTGATGTTAAGAAGACCACAGGGGCTCACAGCTTCATTTTAAACGTCTGAGGCCGCTAAAAGCATTGCCACCTCTATCTTTTAAAACAGGGGCAATCTTCAGATTGAAAGCCCAGATTGGGCTCCACGAGGGCAGTGACAGACAGTGTCTTTGATGCCAAGTCCACATTGCCTGGAACTCAGTGGGCTCTTAGCTATTATTTTGAAGGATGGATGGATATGGGTGGATAGATGGATGTGAGTTTGGGGAATTATTTTTTCGGTGAGCAGTCTCTCTTATTTTTCTGCTTCACAGGCCTTTTCTGCTGCTTAGTTAAAACAATAGCTGAAGACAATCACAGCCTTATGTATTGTTCACTTACTTTAAAAGTCATAAATGTAGCTATTTAAAATTGGTTTCAATTTGTTGGTTACTTCGAATCAAGAACTGCCATGTACACTATATGATATTTAAGTGTCCTGGTCATGGTTAAAATGAAAGCTTTAAAAAATTATATCCTTTGAGATCACTGTTACATTAGGGTTAAGCTATATCATTAAAATAGCTTTTCTTATCAATAAATTACAACTTGTTTCCTCTGTTCCCCTCCCAGCCTGCCATCTATATGTCCTCAGGAGCACAGTGGCAAGCCTTCATTGAGCAGCTGCTGAGGACACCGGGAACTCTCTTTCAGACGGGTTTGTTTGTAGCTAATGCATTAATTGACTCCAAAAGAGTCCAAGTGGAACACTCTGCTTTCATCTGCTAGGCTAACCTAATAAAATAATGTTTGTTTTTAGATTCCCGACTGTTAAGGGGGTCTTGCTTAAGGCAAAACCATAGTCCCTTCGAATAACTTTAGAAGGAAAGTTAAGAAGACCCACTAATGGTGCCTGTCTGAGGCAGCGGATCCCAGGTCGCTGACACACCCCGTGCACAGGTGTGGCCACGGGGGCTCCAGTGCCCACCACTGCCTTGATTCCTGCCTGTTGGAGGATGCTTGACATTGCAGTGCAGCAGTTCTTAAGGTGACCCTAAAATGGACTCACACTCTCAGAACAGACTTGTGCAAGCACGCTTCAGTCTGTCCCATTCGCTGGAGAAAGGGAAGTAGAGATTAATGAAAAAAGTAATTATTAAGCCCTGGCCAGGTTGCTCAGTTGGTTGGAGCGTTGTCCCATACACCAAAAGGTTGTGGGTTGGATCACTGGTCAGGGTACACACTTAGGTTACAGGTTCGATCCCTGGTCGGGAAGCATTTGAGAGGCAACTGATTGATGTTTCTCTCACATTGATATTACTCTCTCTTTCCCCACCCTTCCTCTCTCTCTGAAATCAATAAAAAACATGTCCTTGGGTGAGGATTAACAATAAGTAAACATGGCTGGTGTGGCTCAGTAGATGGAGCACCAGCCTACAAACCAAGGGATCGCAGGTTCAATTCCCAGTCAGGGCACATGCCTGGGTTGCGGGCCGGGCTCCTGGTAGGGGGCACACAAGAGGCAACCACACATTGATGTTTCCCTCCCTCTATCTCCCTCCCATCCCCTCTCTCTAAAAATAAATAAACCAAATCTTTTTAAAAATTAAAAAAAATAATAAGAATGATTAAAACACTCCCATCTGTCATCGCCTCCCTCTGCTATCCCAGGTCTTGCTCTGGTCTCTTGCTGGACTGCTTTCAAATGAGAGAGGGGCAAGTAATTCTGCCCCAACCCTGGAGTTCTTTGGCCAGTCAGAACTCAATAAATATGAGATATTATGTGCCAGGTATCTCATTAAATCCTACAACCCTTAAAGTAGGTATAATTCCTCACTAAATGTCATCTATAGGTTCTAGGACATACATTGAATCTAGTTTTACCTTAGGCTAACTGAGAGTTAAGTACTGATATCATCTTACCAATGTTATAACTAAATGACCTTGAATGAAATGACATTCATTTTTCAAGGACTGCAGTATTATCCATTCCCCTGTGCTACAAATGAGGAAACTGAGACTCAGAGAGGTTATGTCTCTTGCTCATGGTCTCTAAGCTAGTAAATGAGGGTGAAGAATTCGAATCCAGGTCTGATGACAGCCTTTCCTATAAGGATTTCTCAACAAAACTCGGTACAAAAAGTTCTTAGGGTAGTCTGTGCCCAGAATTTCTTATTGTCGCCAGTTCTCTGTATCAGATGTATCATTCCCAGTTTAAGGGAAGGATGATCTCCGGTTATTTACCATAGTAAGTGCATTTATCTCAGAGAATCCCTGAGCCTGAGGACCAGGTGAATCCTGACAAGTCTTTTCAAGTTCATCTTAAACTATTTTACAGCTTATTAAAGTCAGTAAAGAGAATATTAAGGTAAACTTTAAGCATCTGCCTCATGGGTTTAAAACTGGAAAGTAATGTGGAAAAAGCAGAGGTAAATTTGCAAGCTGTTACAGTGCAATGTGATATCACGCAAACGGAACCATCTTAAAAATCTCTACTATAATTAGAAAATGCCATTCTTCAACAAAAGTGGGAAATAATGGAAAACCAAGTTGAAAGTAAATATCTATGGGTAGTTGGCCTCAAAGTGTGTCTGGAGGGAACAGAGACAGTTTACAGAATGTGGGATTTGCTGGAATTACTTTTAGACATAAAATTTCTGTCACCACTAACAGT